GCCTCCTTTTCGTGGTCCTATAAACATGTCTCAAGGGTATATTTCAAATTGATTACAGACAATTTGCACAGGATTTTGTGATGAACACGGATGTCAGGAGCAGCTCGTCATCCAGCGCCATTGCAGACCTTCAGGAGGATGAGGATGGTGTTTACTTCAGCTCCTATGGGCATTATGGGATACATGAAGAGATGCTAAAGGTTAGAAAGTCGTCTCAACTGCATCTTAGGACTAAAGAGGAAACATGGAATGAAGTGGGCTGTGTGCCCATAAATATACTGCAGAGCAGCTGCATTTTTAACCCTTTCTTTACATGATTGTATTTTGCTAGGAGTTGGGTTGAGAAATCTTTTTTAAAATTTTTATTTCCTTTGTACAAATTCTGTTTATACAAAGCATTAGGAACATAAAATCATTTACTCTACAGATATGCTTGAAAATACATTACAATGTCTGTACCACAGCCTTACCTTGCCAAAACCAGCTTAGTCAGGGTACTTAAAAATTAAAGCATAGAACGTGGTGCAGACAGTGAATATTTTTTAGTTTATATTTTTCTAACAAGATAAAGTAATTAAGTCTTAAAACCTTCAAAGGCAAACGTGTGTATGTTCTTTTAACTTTAAAAATACCAAATACAAAACCCAACAATTTATAATTGTCATGAAAATCAAAATCTCTTAATGCTTCCTTTCAGAGAAAGTATCATAGTTGTGAAAGTCATGAACAGTTTTATTGTTTTAAGACACAAATAAATGAAATTACTGCCTAATGTAGGGACAGAATATGGAGTTGTGAAGTGACTTTGTCCATACAGGTAGCATATAAGGTTTTCTGCTTTGTATATAATTTATTGGCCCCAATGTAGAAGTACACATGAATCTGTGTTAGAAACAGTACAAGCATGATGTTAATTTCAGGGTGGGTGGGTGGGATTTTGCAGAAGCCCAGAGATAACTGCAGAGGTAGAATAATGTTTTCCAAAATGTATAATCTAGAGAAAGATATTTAAAGTCTTGAAGATAAATAAAAATTATAGAAGTTTGGTATTGCAGTTGTATAAAGATGTCATTTGAGATGTTATAGGCTATAGGATGAGGAAGCCTTTCTGTTTGCTAATAAAGTGTATAGTAATTCAGCATCTCTGCACAAGGAGATTAGTACAAAATCATATTTTATTTGTTTCAGGGAGTGTTTGTCAGAATGCTTTCAAGAAGACATTAGACTTTCTGAAACATAGGAAAGCAGTTGATTTTTATCATGTGCATTGAATTTTTTCCTACATGCTAGACATTCACCTTGATTTTTTCTTTTTTTTTTTTTAGTCTACCTTATTTATATAAATATAATGGCTTGCTACACTGAAATTTTTAAGAAAGGAATCTTGCTGTCTGAATTTTAAGTTTGTTTCTGACACTTTTCAGTTTTGAAACCTTTTTTTTTTTTTTTTGTATGCTTGATAGTGGAAGGATGACGTTTCAATTTGGTTTTTTCTCTGCAAATACTTCAGAGATGGGGGAAAAGTGTTCTTACCTTACGTTGCCTAAATGTTAGTGTTTCCTGTGTCCTGTTTTTTTTCTTGAGAATTTCTCCACTCATCTTAGTAAATGTTCTTACTATTTATTTAAAAACAAAAAAAAGCATTGCATTGAAATGGCCAGTGTGAGAATGGAATTGATGAATAGAGAGACCTGAAGTGAATGACGATGGCTCACACAAGCAGCAGTGCATATAGTAGGGACAGCAGCTAGAATTATATTGATTAAGTGCTGAGGCAGTGTGAGTGGGCAGGATGTAAGGCTGAAAGCTTTCCAGCTCACTGCTTTCTCGATTGATACTGAACCTTCCAATTTTTATTATTTTTTTTAAAACTTTTTTGGTTGTTTCAGCAAATCCTATTATATGCTACAATAGAGGTGAAGTACTAAAAATAGTTGATCTAAATATAACGTCATAGTAAACCAATATGATTTTAAAGGATCCCAGGTTTTTTTTATTCATGTTAATTATGTATAGTTTTAAAGTACAATTTTCTAAAATGATCCCTAACTGTTTATTTGGGCTTTCTGTGTGTGATAATCCTCCTAAACTTAAAACTGGATTTTGGGTTTTTCAGGCCTCAAAATAATTTGTTTTGTCTCAAGAATTTTTATGAACATAACCTTTGTTCTCAGTCTCTGCTTTTTGATCTTCTTTTTCTAATAAAATAGACTTTGTTCTTTCTCACTAGAGAAAATTTATTTAGTTTATTATTGTTTCTAAAAATTCTCAGCCATAGTAGAAAAATGTTAAATGTAAGCAGTTGGATTTTATACCTCAGTATTATTTGTAGACTTTTCTTTACGAGATAAAAATTGCTTAAAATTTTTTCTTTTGCTTTGCTCTAACACTTGAACTGCAACAGCAATTTCAAAACATATTCTTGGCTGTCAATTTGTGTACCTGCTGATGCATATTAAGAGAATCAATGTTTTAATATATTACCATGTTGGTAGATTGAGCTATACTGCTGATTTTATAAGATATTATAAATGTTTAGTTACAGGCTTGAAAACATTCCAGCTTCTCAGGTCATGTTGTATTATACTTAAGTTTGTTTATTTCTTATATTGGGCTTTCATAAAATGGGCTGTACTGCTTCCTTTACTAGTTTGATGTCAGGTTTGTGAATTTGCAATTTGTTCAGAAATAAAAAAGGTTAATCTGATCTATTTATTTTTTTTTTAAGGAATTTGTGTGTCACAGGAGTATGAGAGAATAAAATGATAGGAAACATTTTATGAGCTCATGTCTCAAATTGTTACCATTGTATAGAAACTTGTTATGTATAGTTGATGCAGTATTGCTACTCTATTACTGCTCTTCCTGGAAAGTCTTGAAGAGGTATCCAAAATCAAATGCAGCAGGTCAGAAGAGTGTAAGCTAATTTCTGATTTTTCCTCCAGAGCTCATCTGGCTTCATTTGCAAAGACAATAAATTCTGAAAGAATATAGTATGGGAAGTGTCATGATTGCAGAGCCCTTATAAGTATAGTAGCCACCAGACATCCTTAGGCCAAGTTAAAAAGCAAGTCTCTCAGTATTTTTGAACAATATACTGTACGTAAGTAGAAAGAGTGAACATTGGTTTTTATTCTTTAAATCCTAGGATAAAGTGCGTACAGAAAGCTATCGTGACTTCATCTATCAAAACCCACACATCTTCAAGGACAAGGTAGGTAAAACAGCTCAGAAAACACAATAATTTCAGTGCTTTATTTTTTCTCTAGTGGTAGAAATCCTTTAGGTTGACTATTTTGTAGCTTTGGGAATGGACTATGGCACTGACAAGATTTGATTTAAGGTGCTCTGGCTTTATGAGGTGGTAGAGTGCTATTCAGCTGCTGGAGGGTGCACAGCGCTGATAACAGAAGTGCTGATCACAATTGTCACTGTTCCGTGTGCCATGTTGGGATGTTCATTAATTATGTTGGCGGGGTTAAGTTGAGCCTTTCTTGTCCAGTATATTAAGTGAAATCTATCTTAGGGGGCTGCTTTATCAGAATTTAAGTGAATTTCAGTTTGTGCCTGATACAGGAAAACCATCCTGGAAGCGCTGTGTAATTGGAACTGGGGAAGAATTCATACACAACTGATTTATTGAATTAGTGGTGTTCAGTCTCTCCAGACTAGGTTATTTTTAAGGCACTTAAAACCAGGAAACTAGTATTCACTAGTATTACACTTGCAGTGAAGAGAGATTGCACTGACATTTGTTTATGATCTTACTGTGGTTGTGACCCCTCTTCTTGTCTTCTGTATTTTTGCTGGCTACTTCTGATTCATTTGAATGAATCAGGCTGAGAGAGTTGGGGTTGTTCAGCCTGGAAAAGAGAAGGCTCCGGGGTGATCTTATAGCGGCCTTCCAAGACCTGAAGGGTGCCTACAAGAAAGCAGGGGAAGGACTTTTCCTAAGGACAACTAATGACAAAACAAGGGGAAATGGGTTTAAACTGAAGGAGGGGAGGTTTAGATGAGATATTAGGAAGAAGTTTTTCACTGTGAGGGTGGTCAGACACTGGAACAGGTTGCCCAAGGAAGTTGTGGATGCCCCCTCCCTGGAAGGCCAGGCTGGATGAGGCTTTGAGCAACCTGGTCTAGTGGAAGGTGTCCCTGCTGATGGCATGGGGGTTGGAACTGGATGAGCTTTAAGGTCCCTTCCAACCCAAACCATTCTATGATTCTATGATTTGTTGTGTTCCAAGTTGTGCTGTGCAGCCTTCTGTTCTGGATTAGCTTTCCTCTACCTAGTGCTTACCATTCTTAAGCTGTGTGTGGGTATTTCTTAATGTGAAACCAGGGTGTCTAGGTTTATGGAAGGCAATTACTGTTGATTTTTTTTATTGTAGTTTTCATTGAGACTTTGTTAATGAGTGATAATACTGGGCTTCACAGTAGTTGTGGAAAGAATAAAGTGTACCCATGTGATAATTCCTCAGTTGGAAATTGTGCTACATATGGTTTTGTCCTAGGCAGGAGGGTGTTTCAAGGTGGATAGTGTGTAGTCTTTTTATGTCTTACCTCAGTTTTCTTTTGGCAACTACAGCAGAAAAAAATTAGGAAAACAGTTTTCTTCCTTTTTGCTTCAATCCACGTCACGAGCCTGTTTCTACTAAACATTTCTAAGCTCTTTCGTTATAATGATAGAACATTATATGTGTTGTAGAAACATTATGCTGACAGCTATTGAAAAGATGCAGGTAGCTGCATAGCTGAGCAGCTCATTCAACAAAGCAGAAAAATCAATAAAGGAAAGAAAACCTTCCTGGGAGAAATTTAGTTTCACAGATGCCCCTAAAATTGATAACTGCAGGTTTTCACACGGTAAGATTGATCTTAAGGTACATTGAACGCATGTCCTAGTGGAACAGTAATTTTTCAGGATTGGTTGTATTTCTCCTCTGTTGTATGGACATACTGGTAATGTTTGAAACAGAATGTGGGTGAACTGTTCTAGACCATGTTCTAGACAATGTTCTAGACAGCCATGGATGAACTTGCTCAGGAATCAGCTAGAAAATGTTTGCTTAGTCTGTGTTTTTACTTCACATGAAAGCATTCAGCTTATAAAGAAAAGCTTGTCTATTGTCTCAACATCTACAAACTGGTTTCTGAACTCCTCTGCTGGTTTTACAGCAGTTTCTTGGTCAGGATTACCTCAAATCTGTAGTGTATCCAAACCCATCATAGTGTGTTGAGGCTGAATGGAAAGATTCTCAATTGCTATGAGTTTCCAACAGCTTCCAGGTGACCAGTACCCCACTTAATTTCTGTGTCTGACTGAATTTTGATGTAGCCTTCCCTTGGTATGCTGTTCTGGAGAATGTATGGGGGTTTTTTCAGAGGTCTAGCTTTGAAGTGACATCTGTTACTCCTGCTGAAGGAACTGTTCAGATGTTTTACTCAAATATATGCTTATATGATGCTCTCAGAATCATATTAATGAGAAAGTTGAGGAAATAAGCTGGTTTCCCTTAAAATTTGATTACAATTAATAAAAAAAAAGTGAGTAGAAGTCTGATACTGTATTTCCTAGAACTGCCATATGGTTTTCCTTCCTCGAAAACACATAGTGATGCTTTTTGTTGTTTCTGAAAGGATGCCTGTGAGGTGGGTTGGGAGGAGCTTGTTGAAAGAGCTTAATTGATCATCCTAGCTTTTGATGCAAATCTGCAGTATCCCAAAGAGGTGTGATTGCACAGTGTAACAGATGATAACAGAGTATCTAGGCTTGATTATTATGCATACTTTATTCAAAAACAGACAGTTTGTTTGTTTTCTCTCAGCTTTCAAATGAAATTATTAAAATTTGAATGAATCCTGCTTGGTGCACTTATTTTCAGATATACTGTCAGATATACTTGAATAGGACAATTTAGATTACCTAGCAGAGGTAGTTAAGGTGGCCTTACTCAGTAAAAGAAAACATGATTCATTTTACAGTGAGAGTATTTTTTGGTGAAAGAAGAATTGGTTAGAAAAGCACTATTGCCATACTTAATTTTTGTTACAGAATAGAAGTCTGAGGGCAGGCATCAATGTCATATTGAGGGGAAAGAAATTAGTTTTTAAACATTGTTCCTGCTAAAAGTTCATTGATGGAATTAATTGGCCAAATTACCTGACCTCCTGTTTTTCTGAATTTGAAGTAATCTTCTTCTGTTACTAGAACATCAGTTTTGGTTAGACTGCAGAGAAGGATGTGATGCTGCAATACATTATGGTATAGTCAAATCACCAGTCCAGCTGCTCCAGATCTCTGGTGAGAGGCCATATGTGATCACTGCAAGGATACGTTAGCTGTAGACCCTTGTCCTTAGGCTAATTGGTGATCATTCTGCTTGTCTTTCCATTCCTCAGATGTGTTCCAGCTTGTATATTTTCTCTCTTGTGCCTTTTTCTCCACCCCCATCCCCTGCCTAAGGCTAGATGAATTCCATCTGGGTTTTTAAGTGACCAGGGCAGCTGTCCAAAGTGGTGTCTGTTTTGATTTTTTTCCAATTTGTGGTGATTGCTCTCTTTCATGCAACTGTACATCAAGATCATTCTTTCACAGAGGTTTATTTTTGGCTCTGACTTCCAGCTTTCATGGCTCAGCAATTTTGTTAACTACCATGGGTGAAGTGTTAGAGTAGATGATGATAGGGGGCGTGAGATTTCGGCAGCTGCAAGAACATTGATTTTTACTTTCTGTTCCTGTTGTCAGAAGACTTCAGCCTAAGGATTTCTGTGGCCATTACATGCTGACAAATAACTGGTGAATGAATTGTAGAATTGTATCCTGTTAGAACATAGCTACAAAGGGTACCAAGTGGAACAAGTAACTGTCCACAACTTCTGTGGCCAGCCTCCACACAAGATACTGTAAAAAAAAGTCATAATGCTAATGTTTTCTAGTCTGATTCCAGATTGTAAATTGCCCTATGAAGACAAGTGGCAGTGAACTCTTCAGTCATTGCTTCCCAGTATGCCACAGAAACTCACTTAGACTGTGCTGCTAAGGATAAATGGCTATTTTTATTCGTGCTGGCTTCACAATCATTGTTCTGCATCCATCATCAAAGTGTATAGAATTGCATGGAAGGCAAAGCAAGCAGGCCTAATGTGCAGGGCGTTCAAGTACTTGGATTCTGTTTGTCAGGTGAAATTTAAAAGTGCATGAGCAAGTTTTTGTTGTGCCAAAGCAAGAATGGCCATTAGCTCATAAACTAGAAAGTCTGTCAGTAGAGTGTGTTGTTGCCTTGAAATATTTTGTAAAATGGAGTTATTTTCAACTGTGGGATTGATTACTGAGTGATTTGATATCATCTTTGGAAAAAAATGTAGTGTCACGAAAGCTGTGAAGACAACTTTTATGACACTGCATGCTGTGCTAAGGAGAGACAGTGAAATAAGTGAGTTTTCTAATAGAGTATTTTTATGACTAGTAATTCTGATTCAATGTTCCTGTTATTTTAGAAGTGTTTTAGTAAATTGTGCTTACTCTCTTGCTTGTATGGGAAAGGAAATGTGTCTTTACAGTTCTGATTCTGTTAATGCTTAAATGCTCTGCAGGATATGGGTGACTACATAGTGGTTAGGAAACGTTTTTTCATTTTCAGATTTCAGAATGTTTTTGGGTTTAGTGCTCAGTGTGAAACTCGTAGCTTAAAAATCTGCTGGAGTACGTTCAGGATTAAAAGTGTTACTTTTTAAGCTGTTGAGAAGTTTCTAGCTGTTAGAAGAAATACACTGTTATGATATTGAGGCCTGAACAAGGCTGCTTGGTAAAACATCTGCTTTATGAAGTTCAATACTGCTGTCAGCTCAACTCTACTAACTAATATTTTTGGTAATATTTTCTTAGTTACTTCACATTTTTTAAATTTTCAGTCTTCCTACAGTAGCTAGTAGGTGAGATATGAAAACCAAGCATTTGCATGAGTTTTGTTGCTATGTTGAGTGTACTTTTTTCAAGTATACTGATGAAGTTTATTTCATTAAAATTTAGGGATCCCATCTTACTGGGTTTTTTTGGTCATATTTTGGTTATAAGTAGTGTTAGAAAAACATTTCCAGGTGTTAAAACTGTGCCAGCTACCATTTTGAAATTTAGTCATCTTGAGCCATAGCTGTTTTGTGACTCTGTGACCATTTCTAGCAGAAGATTCCTAAATGAAGTTTCTGAATAAACTCTTAATGAGGAACTGCAGTTAGAATATGTTTTTTTCAGTGGCAATGCTAAATTCAGTTGTTAGTGATTCACTGATTAAAATTGTTCAGGCTCTAATTTCCCGTTTCTCCTGTTCAAGTAACTTTTTTTTAATTGTTCCCCAAATAATTACTTGTGATTGTTTCCCATGGGACTGAGTTTATCTGCAGCTGGAGCTGGTCTGCTTTGTTGTCTGTCTGTAAGAGGCAGTAGAGGGTGTGGAGTTAGAACTGCAGTTTGACTTGGGTATCTCCGAGTGTGATAGTGATGATGCTACTGTTTGTTCCTTCTGTTGGGATATGGTGCCTCACTGATGTAGAAAGACGTGTGAAAAAATTATAGCAAGGGAAATAAGATGTTTATTTTTACCTCCATTTATTTGTTTCAGGTGGTTTTGGATGTTGGCTGTGGAACTGGAATACTCTCCATGTTTGCTGCCAAAGCAGGTGCAAAGAAAGTGATTGGAGTTGACCAATCTGAAATTGTCTATCAGGCCATGGACATTATTCGGTAGGAAAAGTTCCAAGAAAAGTATGGTAAATATTGCTGTAAAAAGTTATTAAAATGCTGTTCACCTATCACTCAGTCTGTCTTTTTTTGAAGTCCTCCCCTGTCTGAAGACACATTGGAGATGCAACAAACACTGCACACGTGGATGCTGTAAAATTACTCTATTAAATAAATGGCTCTTTAAGAAAAGTACCATGTTTAGTGCATTAGGTGCAACTTTGACTGAAAGGCTTTTGTGGAGCAAGACCTTGTTCTCTAAAGAGAACTTTTCCCAGGAGTCCTTGAAATCTTCAGAGTGGTTACAGATGTGAAATAGTGTTTTGTTTCTAATGTACTAGATGATAAACTTAGGATTGTATCTTTCAACAAGCCCAAGTCCTTTACGTGTTATTTATACTTGGAGGAAGATAGAAGTATCAGCCAACACATATTATCTTTGGCAAGCCTTTAAGAAAAACAACAAATCAAAACTCTTAAACTCTTTTGAGTGGTGAATTGCCACTTGAAGTACACAATGAACCATTGCTAAGGCTGCACATTTTACCTTCTGCTGTAAAAGGTTCAATTCACATTCAAGTTTTCAGTTTATATCAGGACAATTTATATTTGTCTTGTTAAACCTACTTTTTCTTAAAGGAATAAAACTGATAAACTTGTAATGGAGTAACAAATATTTATTAGAATACTAAACAACTCTGTTGCTTAAAAATGATGACTGCAGTGTGCTTCCACCTGTGGTTAAATTATGTGCTCAAGAGCTTTTGCCCCTCCCATGATTTAGGTTCATTTCTAGTGTGCTAATTACTAGAAACAGTGCAACCTATGTGTGTAAGGAAACTGGAATAAATGGCTTGAGTGGCATAATTCTTTCCCAAGGTTACATGGTAAACTTATTTGTAACTAAATGCTTGCCTCCTCTTTTTCTTATTGGGAATAGTTGCCCATAAAATTTCTAGTGCAGTGAAGGAGTTGATTTTTGTCATTCATCACTGTTATACTGGAATAGAAAGTTGAAGTATACTTCCTAAGTAGCATCTCAGCAGTTTTTCCTACAATGTGTAAACTACATTAGTGGGAGTTTGGTGGTGGTGGGGGGGGTTAATACTTTATAAATGAAAACAAGTACGTAATGAATTAGCCTTTTTCCTGTCTTTTGTTTTAAATCGTGTCCTTGATTGTGGTAATTCAGGAACTTATCCTTAGATCTCTTTTTATCCTTCTTAAAATGTTGTTTTGGGTGACAGATCTTTAGTCTATTTCTCACTTTGAACTTCTGGTTTTGCTTCTGTGCACAGCATTAAATATTATATTAGTGATGAACTGCTACCCTTCTAACAGAAGACTGTTGTATGTAGGGTATTTAATTGATCTTTCCAACAGCCCACATGTTCAAGTAGCCCTTTGACCCTTTCCTTTCCCTCCCTTCATTCTGATCTTTCTCCCATTGTCTTTCAGATGATTGAATTTTTAGTGTGATTACTGGTCTGCATTGAAAGCCAGACAGAATGTTAGAGTAAGATATCAAGACAGGGAGGGAAAGGGCAGAGATAAGAACTGCAGTGGAACGATAAATTTATTTGGTGGGAATACTTTTCTGCCCTCTATAACAATAGCTATTGTAATAATGATGTGCTCAAGAAAGGCTAATATGGTTTGCCAAGAGGAAAAATACTAAATTTCAAGCATTTACTTATTTAGTAATTTCACTGTCATGCAGTTTTTGTTTCAAAAGCTGTCACAGTATCTTTCTCCTTATACAGGACGGTTGTACTGTTACTTGTGTATGAGCTAATAACCAATTACTGCAGTTACTAAACATTGCAGATCATTTCAGCCAAAATCACAGTAGGGAGGATGCCTTTATTGTGGAATAACTGTAATACTGATCCAGAGGGAATGTTTGTTCTCACTGACTTTGCAACTGGTTTTGTTAAATAAAAAAACCAAGTCGTGCAAAACAGCTTTGTGAGGAAGTTAATTTCCATTGCTGTCCCAGTGTGATGAGGAGGCTCTAATCACTATGGACTTATGCGACAGGGGTCAAAGGAGGAGAGCTGGGAACAAGCAACTCCAAGTAAACAGGAGCATCATTTTAAATTGTCCTCTTCTTTCTTTTCCTGGTTTCTGAAGCTTACACATTTGCATGCATAGCGCATTGTGTACAGATCTACTGTCTACCATCTTTGCCTGGCACTTAATCTGCTGCAGTTTTTGGGTACTCAGAAACATTCCCTCTGAAATACAACTGAGAAGAGAAATACCACATTTTAGCATGTTCTTGATTAATTTAAAAAAAAAATGTTATTGGGAGGAGAAATGCGAAGTATAGACATCAGTATATCTCTCCTGACAGCATAAATTGGAAATATAAACTATGTTTATGTTGTGACTTGCAGGTTAAATAAACTTGAAAATATCATTACGTTAGTCAAAGGAAGAATTGAAGAAGTAGATCTGCCTTTGGAAAAAGTGGATGTAATTATATCTGAATGGATGGTAAGGTGCACAAATATTCTTTTCAAAACACAGTTATTTTCAGGAAAAAATGTGTGGTTTTATTTCATTTGGAAAATGATTCTTTAAGGGATACTACTTTTTTTAACCAAAAATTTATCATGCTTGCAACAGTGTCTCTGACAATGTGGGAGATGGGATGGTGGTCCTGATTATGTGGTACTTGGATACAACTCCTGATCCCTTGTTCATGCTCTTTCAAGTCACGAGGTTTTTGTTACGTAGTTAGTGTGCAAATCTACAGTAGTACTCTGTATTCATGAATAATACTATTGTAACCATTCAGGTGAAAGTAATGGAGAAATATTGTATTAGTCATCCAGCTAGATCATTTTGATGAGTTACAGTAAAACACCTTTAGTTCACAGACAGCTAAAGACTATCCTGACTGCAGGAAAGGTGATAAAGAGATGAGGAGCTTACACACTGGGAAATCTGCAAATATAGAGAGAGCTTGAAAACTGTGTTACTATATTCATTGCAGTTTTTTAGTATAAGAATAAAGTAACTGATTTTAAAAGTACGTAATAGAGGTGGTGGCCAGCAGGAAATGCAGTATGCAGGGTGTAAATGAGCCATTTCTTGGAATCCCATGGATTTCAGCCGTTGGGCTGTTACCTTTCTTTCATGTTCTGGCTTATGACTGTTACACAGTTGTGCTTGCAACTCGCCATTGATCCTAATAAAGAAATCTGTGTGACAAGACCCAGTGCCAGGCTGAACTTCATAGCGACTGAGTAAGTCTGTTCCCGATCAAAAATGTGGTAGGAAACACCCCTTGTGACTTTTCTTGTGGACTTCTGCTATTCAGTCTCCTCATATTGCAGACCTTAAAAAAAAAGAATACATGTTTTCTTCATGCTGGTTCCCACTGTTTGGACTTAAAGAAAAATTCTTTTGTCCTTCAAATTTAAAGATCAATAATGAAAACTTATATTCAAAGTTATTTTTAAATGCAAACTGTGGCTGTTCAACTATACACAAGAGCCTTTGGGAGAGAGGTCACACGTTGACTATGGATCCATATGTATCTAACTAGTTTCCAGTTAAAGGTGAAAATATAGTGTTTGCTTTGGCTTTTCTGTGGTTTGGTGGTGGTTGTTGGTTTTTTGGTTGTTTTTTTTTTATATTACACATTGTGGTGTGCTGGAAACCTGCAAAAGCTTTTCCTCCACTGCTAATGAATGTTATTTGAAGCATGAGTTTAATTTAGTATTGAGGACACTAGTTTCAAGGAAGATTTAAGCCATTGGCTTAAACTAGTGATTTAAAAATAGTGTGTTTAGGGTTGGTGATTTCTGACAGTATAGTGACTTCACTAGAAATGTAATTATGGTTCTTTGAGGAAACCTTCTGATCAGTTGCCTAATATGTGCACCAAGAATAATGTTCCCAAAATCACATTCTCATTCTGGAGCCCAAGATTTGGTTTTAAAAGCAACTTCAGCACTTTAGAGCTTAAGTCATGTTGCCTCTAAGGTGAGATGAAGGATTTTGGAAAGCAGCTCTTTTAAGAAATGAAGTATTGAATGTTCCATGTTTCCCATTTGTGTGCTTATTTACCTTTTAATGTCATAATTATATAGCCATGTGCATTTCACTTAATTAGGTATTCTAAATATTTAGGAATATTAGCATTTTTATAGGTTGCTGCAATACAGAGATAAAAAGGACAATGCCATGGAAGTAAGATTGATAGCTGGACAGTGCACACACTGTGCCAGCTCTGTCCAGAAAGGAACATTGTGTTGCCGAGATGCAAATGAAGATTCCTCTTTGTCTGGCTTTCTCGTGTGAATCTGCTTTTTATTTTCCTTCCCTACATGATACTGACCAATGTGAAATCTTTTGTTAATATGTGAATGTAAGTGCTTGAATGTCTTGGAAATAAGAAGCATGAGAGCAAAAAGGAATTTTATATATATATATATGTTTTCAGCTCTTTATGTCAGTTTTCAACTCTTTATTTAGAGAATCTGTATGAACTGGGAGAGAATTCTAATGGGGAACAGTGGTTTTGCTTTGTAACAAAAATATGAAAGTTACTGTTCTGTTTAGAAAACAAAACTGCTTTTAGACTGGTAAACATCAAACCTTTTTGTGGAGACATAGCTTTGTTTGGCTTGGTACAGAACAGTGCTTAAGACCAGTACACTAAGCTTTTTTTAGAGCTGTATCTGGAGCATCAGAAAATTAAAATCAATGAAGTAACAGAGAGGAAAAATACTGCATCCTGCAGGAATGTTTCTAGAATAGGCCTTTTGAGAAAGATGACACATAGAACCGTGTATTGTAAAAGGTACGGTGTTGCATTATGAGCATCTCCAACATAATTGTTTCTGATGAACGTTCTTTTAATTGTGTAAGTGACCTGTGACTTCCACAGACTGCTTACTTTTCCTACTTCTCTTTCATTTTTTAATTTGTTCCCTTCAAATATGCAAAAATGGGAGAAGCATCTCAAATATTACACAGTGAGGAGGGGGGTGTGTGTGTGTATATAGATACATAGCCAAATTATATTTCAAATGTGTATTTGCCATCTTCCAAAATAATATTTTTCAGTTTCAAATTAATCTGGGTACAGTTTTGTCATGTTCCTGGTTTAGAATGATGAGCAACTGTCTTTTCATTGGGTTTATTTAAGCCTATAAAAGAAATTAGCAGTGATCTTGCTTTGAATGTAAAGACTTAATGCATTGTTTGTGACATCTGAAGTACACGTGTTTGACATCATTAAAATCAGACCATAAGCAGAGCATCTGTGTGATTGTTTGATTAAAACCAGTATGTAAACCATTGAGAAAGACAGTGGAAGGTGTGATGAGCTGTGAGCTGTTCTGTTGGTATCCAAAAGGCAGACTACTGAAGACTGAGGGTCTGTTGGATGTCTGAAGACCCAGATAAAGCCATCTATTTAGACTTTTTCACTCTGAGGAGACCTGTACATTCCTTTTAGCAAAACATTGGTGAAATATGCAGCCTGACACAAGGATCTCTTGTGTGCTGTGAACCAGGTGCACAAGGGAGAGCACGTGGACCGAGGAGCCTCTTCACCCAATAAACCACGTTGCATTAAGAAAGAATGCAAGAATGGCCAAGTAACAGCCTGTTCTGCTAACCAAACTGATTCTGTGAGGAGAAAGTCATCCAGTTCTTGGAGAAAGGTTATTTGAATGTAAGGATGGGTGAATTTTATATAAGATCTCACTGCTGACCTCATTTTTGTAGAGATTTCCCTGTCCTGGATCATTTGATGCTGTAAGCTTCTGATGCACCATCCTGCTTGGTTGCCTGGAGTTCTGATGTGTGAAACTTTTGAAAGCCTTGATTTGTGAAACCATGAATTGCTGTTAGTGGTTACAGGTACCAGCCTGTAACCACTTTTCTTTACTTGTCTGCTTGTACAATTGGGCACCTACAAGCAAATCTCCTGTCCTCTTATTCAATCTGTAGACTTACATGAATGGTGTTTCTAAGCAAAGGTACAAATAATTGAGTATTTGTGTACAGTGCCTAGTGGCATCTGATGCAAATCATTTCTGAATACACATCAGTCCTATCACAACATCAGTGATTTGTTTGTACCTTGGTGTAATGAATGAAAACCCTTGTCAGTTAGTGACTTGACCTGAAAATGGTTTGCAAATGCTTAAATTTCATCAAAAGTTTAGAATTTTGACTTGAATGTGCTGCTGTTTGTACAGGTGGTGGGACAGTACTTATGAGTTATATACACTGTAGACTTGCTCTCAGTCAGGATCACATTTATGAGCTCTACCCAGAGATACTGAATTTTAAGAAACGATGTTTTGCTGTAATTAGAGTAATTTTATATACAGTATATAAGTTTGAAATGAGAGCTGCTATACAACTAACCAAAGCTAGTTTTTGGTTAAATTGAATGCTGGGCAGGAAAATATTTGCTATAAACATATAAAAGTGGCTGTGTTATTGCACATGGATTTTGGTAGTCTAATTGGAAACTTTATAGGCTGCTTATTGAAAGGATAAGTGCAGAAAGAAATAAAAGATAGGTAATGTTTTTCTGGAATGTTCTTACCCAGCTGCATTTGTGTGCTGATTTTTTTCTCTCTCGATATGCTTTTATTTCCTTTCTCTAGCTAAGACTGTAAAGCTAGAGGTTGAGAGTTTTATTCACTTGAAAAAATATCTGCATTTCTTGTTTGTAAGGGCTTTTATGGTGAGAGACAATTGTTTGAGATGGTTGTCTCCAGTACAGAGTTAGAGTACAGTGTGTTCTCATAAATGTCTGTTTTATGCAGTGCTTTATGATACTGAATATGCAATAGAGTTTTACACAAGGAGAAACTGGGAAAGAGATGGACTCTTAAAATAAACTGTGGATAGTATCCAGTACTCTTGTCTCTTAATCCTGTCATTGCTCACGTAACTAGTATCTTTTTTTTTTCTTCCACCCCTTTTTTGTGTGTGTCAGATGATTTTGAAGTGATATCAGGATGAGCTGTGAATGGGAGATATTCAGGATCTAGGGAAAAGGACTAGGAAGTGAGCATGTCTGAAACACTGAAAACCATATTTTCTCACCTTCCTCCTTTCCCCTATTTCTACAATGAATATACAGTGTTAGTGCTTTTTTAGCACTTTCTAGTCTCTCTATAGTCTTAATATTCTCTATTGTTTCTATTAGTATTTAGAGGTGCATTAATATAAGTGTTCTATTTCTATAATGCAGTAATAGTTAATAGTTTTACCTAAGAATTGAGCCTTTCTTTTTTATTTTTTTAATAATACTGTGTAAAGAGCATTCTAAGTAGCTGAATGCTTTAATTTCTTTACAGCAAAATGTTTTAATAAGGAAATGTATTTCCTTGTGTGAAAATACTGATTTTTTTGCCAACAGTAATAATGGGTATCATTTCTCTGCTCTTCAGATCTTCCCATTTGGTGTTCTCACTCATCTTAGGTTTGTTTAAGGACACAACAGGGTGTGCATAATATCAAAGTCAAGCTGTGGTTTTGAAATGTGTGGGCTTGCTCTGTCAGTAATGAATTATTTCCTTTTTTAAAATTAAATCATACATGAGAGATCAGCATGAAGGCTGACTTAGCGTGAAGGAAATGGTGCTGCAGCAGAGCATGCAGAAGAGTTTACATATAGCTGCTGCTTCTCATTTAAATACACTGCAGGTTTTGGGGGTATTTTGTCAAGTAAAAAGTAATTTTTCACAAAATTGAGTGGGCTGCATCAGTTTTGTGCATCTTTTAACGCACAATAACTTTTTGTGTTTTAAATCAGAGATTGTTATCCAGTCTGTTTCACATTCCCTCTCTAACTTGGTTTACTCTGTAGTCCAATAGAAACTTTGGTTTAAGAAAATAATGCACTTTTTATACTGATAGTTCATTTTGAGAAACAAATAGCCAGCTTTTTAGTAGAAAATGCGTAATATGAGCATAACATTTGAGATGTGCTGTGTATTCAGTTTGTTTTTAACAGAGAATTTGTCACCTTCTGTGTCTTAGTTTAGTCACTACCAAGCTTGAATTATTAATATGCGGCTCACAGATTCGTATCTTAGAGATCTCTTTACAGTAATTAATTTTGAGGGTGCTAATACATGCTTAAAAAAAACCAAACCAAAAAAAAAACCCAAAACCAAACCCCTGAACATTATTGGGGTGGAAGCAAGAGTGCCCCACAGCATCACGGGGAAAAGGTGTTGAGTATAATTCTCTTTCCAGATGGCACCCCTACAGGTGAGGCAGCAGCCTGTGAAATTACATTCTAAATTACACTACAGATGAGCACAGCACACCGAGCAAAACGCTTTGGTATAAGTAATAAATGACTTGATTCAGTACCATTGACGGTTTATGTAACTTAGAGGAATGCTGTAATGAATTGGGGGGAAAGATAGAACTGGGAGCGGGGGGAGAACCAATGGTGCCAGAGTGGAAGGGCAGGGAAAAGACATTGTAGGTGATGGGCATTTTAGGCAGAAAGAAAGAAAAGTGAAGAGCTGAACTATAAAAATACCACCTCGTAGCTTACTGACTCTTGCTGGTGACTAGTCTTAAGATACGTCCTAGAGGTCATATTTAAAACCAGCTCATTTTCAGCATCTGAAAGAACTTTTTATGAACTAAACATATTCTATTTTTAAAACTGCAAGAATAAGAATACAAAAAAAGAAAACTCTGGTTCCGTTCTGTGCTTTTGGCTTGCTGTGGGCAGAAAATATTCTCTACCTGATGCAATTGCAGCTCCTCGCCTTTTCAGCTGTTTTGCAAAGCTTATTAAAAATTGTTGCTCATAAAGTGGTTGTCTTAATTCTGGGACTTAATCGAAGGGCTTCGTAAAAGTTAGGTGGTAGAGTGGAAGAACAGGCAACATTTGGAGGAAAAGTGTCCAGTGGAGCTGGACATTCCTGTTACCAGGTGAAACAGGTTGAGAAAAGGGTATTTCCATTATTTTAAGACTGTTCTTGTTGAATACAAATATGTCATGCTTCAAGTTTCTGATTTTCTGATTTTGTTTTTAGCTAAGGCGGCTGCAGTGTGGATGGCTGACTCAATTAAGTTTGCAATAAGTTACTCTAAACATCTATTGCAGTATAATTAACCTGTTATAAAATTAATCCCAACACCAAAAAGTGACACAAATCAAATTCTAACTATTTTTATCCTGAGAATTTCTTTAAGTTCAGGTGCTGTAAAATTATGTAGAAAATCCAGTGAATCCATGTCTTTGGTATATGATTTATTTCCACCTGTCTTAGCATTGCCCAAGCTGGTACAGGGCACCATGAGGTTGTAAATGTTGAAGTAACAATGGTGCATTCCATTTGGTGTTTCTCTGACAATAATTTTAATGTTACTTGTAGTTCTAAGTGGAAAGATATTTTCTTGGATTTTTTTTTTTTTTTGTATGATGCCTCAAACTTATTACTAAAAAATCAATACATAAAACTTTCCACTTGGTTTGAGTTTAATTTGATTCCTTTTAATGTTGTAGGATTCTGTCAGGTAGTTGCAGTAGATTGCATTTACTGCCTATAGTTTATTAATTTAGTAGGTACTGGATACTTGCAGTTTGGGAAATTAAAGATGATACTTTACGTAACTAAAGTTTTGAAGTGACAATGCTATTGCTGAGAAATTCACTGAGTGCTGGCTCTTATTGAGGTGTATGGGCATAGAAAGTTCTTACACTGTTGATAAAGTCTGTGTATAGATTGATTAAATAAGCTACATAAGAAGCATAATGATTTCTAAATTCTTTTCTTTTTCTATAAACAGGGATATTTCCTTCTCTTTGAGTCAATGCTGGATTCTGTCATCTATGCAAAGGACAAGTACCTGGCAGAGGGAGGCTCAGGTTGGTGCACATAATTGTTTTAATAAATTTAGCTCGGGGGGGGAAGTAAATTAAATCAGAGACTTAGAATAAGCTATGCATGGATGAGAAAGTTGCCAGTCTAAATGAAAAATGTTTCCATTAGTATGAGCTTCAAGGCATTAATTTACTATATGGGTAATAGAAGAACATTAGATGGGATATCAAGGTCTGAAGTTAATGATGTTTTTAAGAATAGAGGGAGTTATTTATTCTTAAGTACACTCTAAATTTTTCCTTCCCTACTTCCCATACATGTGGGCATTTGTTTTCCCTTCTTGAAATCACAGTTTCTGCATAACTACAAACAGAGGAAAACAAGTTTTATTTTATAAGATGTGATACTGTTTGAGTAAGCTACTATGAATGAGAGGAAGAGTGGATAGGATGTTTTCTTGGAGGAGGGAAGTTGCATGGGGAGGACATAGTTTCAAACACAAGAAGCCACATGAAATGACTAATGGAATTATATTGTTTCAATTTAGCATATTTATTCTATCTTGGTGAGACTATACCCTTTTTCTTTGTGGTTGGAGGGTAGGGAAGTGACAGAACAAAAAGATTTTATGGTGAAGTAGAGTTCTTTTATCCGTATAAGTAGCTTAGTGTCATCTTAAGAAGTGTTTAAAGACCTGTAAATATTTATTCCTCGTGTGATGCATTTTTCTGCACAAGTTCTGCATATGCTTTATTCCTTGTGCTTAATTCCTTTGTCAGTATTGTATTTCATATTGACCTTTTCAATCGTAGTCATCAGTCTGGGGTTTTTTTTTTTCTTCTCCCTTTTGTGCTAACCATGCACATAGTTAGTTTCACTACACTGATTTAATGATTGGATTAATGACTGTGTAACAGTGCTCACTGCAGTGATTCCCTTTGCAGTGAGCTTTTGTGTGCTACAGAGTGCAGAGAAAAGAAAAAAAAGGGTTTTATGCAATTGTTCAACATTCGGTTACAAAGCTGAATATATGAGCCAGAGATTATGGTTCATGTGTTAAAATATTTAGAAACCACTTGAACAGTGTGACAGAATAAGAGCTTTTTTGTTTTCAGTAATATTGCATAGTCCAACCAGACCTGGAACACAGTTGTGTGCTCTGAATCGGTGATACATGCTGATAATTTTGCATTGCTATATAATTAAATCTGGGGACATCCCCTAAAATTGTAAGGAACTATTTTATGTTTAGCTATTACCAAAGCCTTCTGAAAAGGGACAGAAATTTTTGACCTCTATTGAAACTGCCATAATATCTTGTTCTCTAAACTATACGTGTATTTTTGGTAAGTTTGCTGGTGACTTGTGCTTCCTTAAGTTTCCTTTGAGAGACAGGGTAAGGTGGTTCTGCAGTACACTTACCCTCTGTGGTCTGAGAATGACCGTGCGCCGTTATGTGATTCTTCACAAAGGGTACAGTGTTATACAGTCACTGGTTGGTGTGGCCAGATTTAAAATGCAACGCTGTTTCCTTAAGATGCTTACAATTACTGCTCTTCTGCCAGCTTGTGTAGCAGGTAAATGGCTGTCCCTGAGATTCCTGAGAAAGCTTAGCAAGAGGGATGACTCTGCAGTGTAGAGGAATAGCAGCAGAACTGTGGGCACATGTGAGTTCAGATGAACCCGAACTAAGAGCTCATTCCGAGGTGAAGTCTTACCAGAGAAACTCCTGAATCTGCTATAAAACTTAATTTTGTCTCAAGCCACTTTGTACTATTGAGCCCAAGATCATTATTACAGAGACTGACTGAAAGCTGAAAAAAGCAATAAAGCAGCTGTGATTTGGCCAAATCTTTTGGTGACTGAGCTGGGAATAGAATCCAAATTTTTAGATTTGTGTTCAGCCAGTCATATCGTCATTACTTCAATTTAGCCTATTGGCATGCTGAAGTGGATTATGCCAAACTGTCTAGGGTAATGTGTACAGTATATAATGGCTTTATTTGGGAACATAAAATTCTTGCTGCCCAGGACCCATCTGTTTGTTCTTTAGAGCAGTTACTCGCTTGGGTATAGATTTTTGCATGTGCTTCAGTGTCGTGCGCATTGGTGAGAGGTGACATAGGTAAGGAAAGCATCATTCAAAAACTAATACTGTTGGCTTGTTCATGTCAAAACGATGATGGTATTCACTTGGAATTATTTCTGTGTATCTGGAGGATTGCTGCCTTACCTTTCAGCATCCCGAGGGTTTGTGAGGCATTGCTAAGGGATAAAGGATTTCCCATTGTATTCTGTTCACCACGTGAGCTGTTACGAGTGACAGATGACTTCTGGGCACTGAGTCGAGAAGGACACAGATGGTCAAAACGATGAATCTGTAAGAGCATTGAGGAGTAGGTGCTTTTGTCCAATCAGCATTTTGTTCATTTCACCTGCGAGAAGGAATAATTATTAAATTATAGGTTTAATCAGAAAAAAAAAAAAGACAATTCTGACAGGATTGCACAGGGAAGTGTTACCGGGTTGTGGAAAGAGCAGAGGATTTCCAGGGGGATCAGGGATGATGGGTGAAATGGCAAACGCAGTTTTAAGCAGATGCTTTTAAACATTTACAAAACTCTGCAGTGCTTAGATGATTTAGGCTGATATTTAGATAACATGGTTACATTTCCAGTCAGACTTCAGTATCACATGTGCTTCTGGACACGGGTGGGTTTGTAAATTTGGAAGTTAATATATCACTGTCGTGTCTTGCCTGTGCTCTGCTGGTAGAACACAGATTTCTTTTTGTGAAGTCTGAACAGGCATTGTCTACTTTTTTTGTTGCTATTGATAAACTAAACTAAAAATGCAGATTAAATTAGAGCATTAGTGCTTATGTTTTTGCTTGTTCTTAAGCGCTTTGTGTAACTGATCATGAGTTCCACTGATGATTTAAGGTTTTGCTATGTGGACAAAGAGATTTAATAAAAACTGAATGTGGTCCCACCGAAATATTTCATGCTTGATAGACATGGCAAACTTTTTCCTGTTAGCAGACTGTCCCAGAAGTGTGGACTGGTCCAAGGAAGGAAGGTTATAAAGTAATTGATCACTTTTTGCTGTGGTTTTCTTTTTTGTTTGCAGCGTTGCTAGCACACTCATGTAAGTGTATTCTTAACTAGGCACTTTCAGTCTCTTTTCACTCCTCGCCATACCCCTTGCATCTTGTGAAGAGCATTTCCTTGAAAAATATTCCCTCAAAGGCTGTAGTCACTTGCTTTTGTTGTGTGTACATCAGTGATGACTCTTGAATGTTTGAAATGCTGGGAGGTAAAACCAAATATAGTGCAGTTTTCACACTAGTAAACAGCAATAGGAAAGCTTCGAGAAATGGCAGTCTCTTATTGATGGCTCCAGAAACTACTTGCAAATACTCCTACCACCAGATGTTGATTTTCTTTTTGTGTGTGTATGACAGCTGTCAGGTGTGCTGGAACCAAATGATTTGTGTCAGACAAGACAGTTTGAATGCTTTCCTGTTTTGATTCTCATCAAACTGCCTTTTTATGGCTGAGTTAATTGTAGTCTGTTCCTGCAGAAACCTTCTGCTTTGAGTTCCTCATCTGCTAGGTGGTGATGATGATGGCTTACCAGTGGGATTCCAATTTAAGCTTGCTGATACTTGTTTTTTTATTCTGTTTTAAACAGTTAGAAAGTGAGAAAAATGACAGTTTGTTCATATTTTGTATAAACTAGTCATTCCAAATGTAGGGGTGGTTGCTTACTTTAATGTCTTCATATGAGCAAAAAAATAGCTTTTTTAGAGAAGATTCTTCATCATTAATATGTATAAGATTATTTCCTTTAGGCTAAATTTACTCTCACTATATAAAAGGTCTAATTTCAGTTTGCTGTTTCTCTGTGCAGTGTTTTACAAGGCAAAAGATACTGCTTTTCTGACTTACTATGCTATACCAATGATTTCTCCATACTCATTTTGATAAGATACAATTTCAAGCAGAGCTGAAGACAAAACTAATTTTACAGTTCACCAGATTTTAGGGAGGAAAAGAGAAACTTAGCATCAGTTTTATTAACACTGCCACATTCATGTATCAATACAAAATAAAATAAAAGAAGGTGTTTATTAGTAGGCATTTTGTTCTGAACCCAGATCAAGAATTCAGTATATGCGACTAAAGGCTTTAAAACTCTAAAAACAAAACATTGGGATTTCTTTGTGGAAAGAAACCTAGCTAAATATAAATTGAGCTTCTCTTACTATTTGATGTTGCTATAGACAGCCATGGCCATAGCAGCTGTGCTTTATGTCTTTTCCAGTCAGCAGTGGATAGAGATTGCCAAGACATTAACTGGCTTTGCTGTCAGCAGCTGTTAAAAAGGCAAATGTCAGTCTTCCACTACTGTCTGGAAAAGCTGTAAATAGGTACTTTTTCTGAAGGTGTTCTTGGGAGAAGGGAAAGCACAAATGGGAAGATAGTGTAAGAATGATAGCTGTCATCCTAAAACTGTGGGGGGAATCGATGAGAATGTTCTCTTCTGTCTATTGGGTCACTTCCATACTCTTCACATATAGATAGAAGAATGGTTATTCTTTTCCAGTACCCTTAAATAATTTTTCAGGTTGTAAGGCAAGTACCAGCCAGAGCTGATAAGAAACAGGAATAAAACTCTTGAGTAAGAATATTTGTTCTTTCCTGGAATAAAAGGACTTTTCACAGAAGTTTCTTGTTATTGCAGAACCTTCACCTGAATTTTCCTTTGGGTGTCTGTCTACAGTTATTAAATCAATTTTGGGTCAGTCTCTGTATAGAAGCCAGAAAAAGATGTTCCAAATTTTCTTCAGACATCAAGTTTCCAGTTATTTTCTGGCAGTGGGATTCAGCTACAAAGATATTCTGTCATGAATAGGAAATACTATTCCCAGAGTAGTGTAGGAAAATTAATTTCCAATGTCTAGTCTGTTCTGTGGACAAATGAAACTCCAGAAAACAAAGTAGTGGAAACAGTGTCTTGTCCAAGAGCTGAAAAAAGTTTTCATTTGTTCTTCTAAGATGTTAATCACTAAAAAGGGTCCTTTTTATGCATGTCTAAAATAAAATTCCACTGATCTGTTTCTTTGTTACAGTTTATCCTGACATTTGCACCATTAGTCTAGTAGCTGTTGGGGATATGAATAAACACATGGACAAGCTACTTTTCTGGGAAGATGTATATGGCTTTGACATGTCTTGCATGAAGAAGGCTGTAATTCCAGAAGCTGTTGTGGAGGTGCTGGATCCAAACACACTGATATCTACAGCCAGTGTCATTAAGGTACCATACTTCTTACATTTTTAGTAGTCATATCAGAAGTTTCTTTGCATTTTGCATGTTATACTTAATGGCTTTATACTCATTTGTTCTCAGCAGCAATCATGGTTTTTAAAATAACCTAAAGTCAGTGCATGAGCTTATTTGCTGGAGTTAAGTACAAAGTAGTAAAATTAATGAGTTGAGCAACAGTGGCATTATAGATAAATTGTTTTAATCAATAGCCATTCCAGAGAACAAATGGATTATATTTCTGAGGGAAAGTTTAAAAACGTTCCAATTTATCATATGATTATTACAGAAGATATTTTAGTGTGTTTGCTCAGATTAGCTGCTTCTTGTTTTGTCTAGTTAATAATGTAACTTTTCAGGAAGCAAAGCATTCCCTAAAGGAAGACAAGGCAGTATCAAGAAATAATGAGTAATAATGTATTTGACACTTCAGTTGCAATTTGATTGGACAATGTTATCAGAGGTTGTGGAGTCTCCATCCTTGTAGATACTCAAAAGCTGTTTGGGAATGGTCCTGAGCACCCTGCTCTAGTTGACCCTGCTTTGACTTGGGGTTTGGACTAAGCAATTTCTAGAGGTCCCTTTCAACCTCAGTTATTCTGTGATCACTGTGAAACTAACCTGGCAAATCAAAAAAGCCCAGTTTTAAACTGGATCAGTTTCATACTGTTGTTTACCATGTGGCTACATGAACAAGAAGTAAAATAAGTGAAGATGCCTGTGGAAGCTACTTAATCTCACCAATGGGCAGCTGTCATCAAGAGCTTTATTGAACAGAGTGAGCTGCTATAGCTAGTTCTATACCACTACTAGTCAAGGTGTTTGTTTTGGCATCTGGGGAAGAGGGATTTTAGATCATTTGCCAGTGTGCAGATAGCATTAGGAGGTTTTTAAGTCTCTTCCCATTTTTGGAGAGCTGAATTATTATTTCCGTAGAAAAGTTGTCTTATTATGGGAACAACTGAACAACCTTCATCCAAAGGAAGATCTTAATTTACATCCAGCACTATTACTGACAGAATTGTATTCTTCTTTTCAACAGCGTATTGACTGTAATACTGCATCCACTCCAGACCTGGAATTCTCTTCAGATTTCACCCTGACCATTACAACGAGCACAAAGTGTACGGTAAGACAATTTTAGTTTCTTCATATATGGTCAGTATCACATTGCACTAATAGACACTGCATTAATTAAGCTTCATTTATCATCAGTCCTTGCCTTGAAACATTCATTCCTGCAGTACAGAGCTGTCAAATGAGCCCTTTTTGTAAAGAGAGATGGATGTAAAACTTCAGTAATAGTGTTACAGTATAATACAGATAGATGAGGAAAGGGAAAGATAAGGAGCCTTAGCATTGAGGTCAGTCTGTTTTGTTCTCTAGCCCATTTTCTGAAACAAGAGTTTTCTGTTGAGACATGTTGTTACCACTGTGCTCAAGGAGAACACGGTCACTATTCTCAGAAGAACTTTTCTGAGTTTATTAAAAAGAGTGAAAAATAAAACTGATATAGGGAAGGGAGACTACAGCCCATGTAATAAACATATAGCAACTGATAGCTGCTATATGTTTATTACACAGTTTCTCAAACAGGGAAGTTGATGAAGTTTAAATCTGAGGGGGAACAAATACAGCATTAGAATCTGAACCTCCTAACCAGGGTTTTTACTGCATCTGTTTTATTTATTGTGTGTGAGTTAGTATTTTTTATTTTATGTAAGTTAATATGACTTATACTCAAAAGAACACTAATTCTAGAAAGGTTGTGGAATTTGATTGAAGGGGACTTCCAATTACAGCAACCACAAGCTGGTTTATCTTAGTATCACAGACTATGCTGTATTAAAGTGTGTGATGAATCTCCAGCAAATCTTGTCTGTGATCTCAACTGAGTATTATTTGTCTATCAAACACTAGTCAATATGAAAAGAAAGAAAAGGAAAAAAAAAATCAGTCTGAGCTTTAGAATTAAATGAAAGCTCAGTACTAGGGCATCTTTCAAAAACTTATTTGAAGTTGTGCCTACATTGTTTAGTATGAATTCACATAAATACACATTCATTTTGTGACTCTTTTTTCTTGAATAGTATCTGGTAGTAATGAGAAAACAGAGAAACACTGATTTTTTTTTTTTTATTATTAATTAAGAATGTGCCCTATTTTTTTCTGCAAGTGTCTATGCAATTTATGTTGTGTAGTAATAGTATCTGGTAGTAATGAGAAAACAGAGAGAAACACTGATTTTTTTTGATTAATTAAGAATGTGCCCTATTTTTTTTCTGCAAGTGTCTATGCAATTCATGTTGTGTAGCTTGCATTCCATTTTTGAGGTATAGGTCATGGAAGACACCTAAATATTTGTGTTTACCATACTTCATGTAAGGGTGTGAGTGACTTCTGAAATAAACAATGTTCTTAAAACTAAAACAAATAGTGTATTCCAACACTACAAACATATTTGTAGTGTTATTGTTAGGCAAGGCAGTTGGGATAAAGACAAGGTACAGATGAGAAAGTCTGATGGTGGCTTAGAGTAAAGTAACACATTGAGTTTTTAATCACTAAATGATGAGCAAAGGCAGGATGACCTAATTTTTACAGATTTTATGATTGCAGTTATATGCTTTTACATTAAGCATAAATTATAAATGCTATCTACCAATTTATTAAAATATCCTCATTAAATTTGACAGAAGTTTGTATTAGACTCTGCAATCTGTAGTAAAACCTAAAATTTTTGTAGTCTAGTGTATTGTGATACTTCTACTGGTCATTGCATGCTTAACTTTTAAGTCACAGCACATCACAGATTCAAGACCAAAGGGGTCATTAGGAGCTAATTTTTAATATGTTGTGGTAAGTGTGCTAAAACTGGTTTATTTGGCTTTCACATGTGTGTATGAAGAAGAGATGCAGGCTTCCTCTGATGTAGACACCAAGAAAATGTTGCTGTATAATGTAAACACTGAAGCTGATAACAAAATCTTGGATGCGTGTGTCAAGCGACATGATACCTGGTTTTGGATGGGTCTTTGTGTTGGTTCATGCTGCTGCGTTTGCCACCACTTTTGTTGTATAACAGGATGCACAAGAATGTGTTGGTGTTACAAAGTGAAGTTTTCCCATGTATATAATTTAAAGCATTGTTATCAATGCTTTTAAATCATTGCTATCAATTATTTTGATATCATAATCATCATTGTTATTAGTGTGAGTTAGTAGCTATGTACAAATACTTCTTAATTACTTGTCAGTTATTAGCAAGTTAAGTAAAGACACAGTAACCTTGTTTTATATTAAGTTGAAATCTATATATTTTATTCTGCATTCACAAAAAAAAAACCCTCCTGTTTTTAGTTGTTATAAAATCAAAGAACAATTCTAGTTGCCTCAGCACAGGGTCAATTTTGATTTCAGACCAAGCTCTAGTGCAGCCCTGGGTTAGTTTTCTCAATGTAACCACTTTTGAATGACTGATTAGTTAAAAATAAATCTTTATAAAATCTTGATGTTGGGATAGAGTAAAATAGCTTATTTTGTAAACATTGTTTTCCCCTAGTGCTAGACCTTTATGAAAACTTAATTTCTGTTCTATGATTCTATGGCATCATTGACTTATAAATCAAGATGTACACCTGCATTTTATGACTTCCAGGGAGAAGGGGAGGGAAGTGGAGAAGCAGTGTTTCTGGAATTTTGCAGTGAATGCAAGTTCTAAAAAATAATCAGAACTCTGTGAAGTGTTTTGCACTTCATCATTTAGGTTTATTGACACTTTGAGTGAAATTTCCACTCTTTCTATGATGGATTGTGGAAGTTTAGTTGGGGGTTGACAGTTCATCCATCATATCAGGCTGCCTAACCTTGCAGTAAATGAACAATAAAAGTCCATTATTTATATTGAGAATTTTTGAGAAGATGCTTTAAGATTGCAGTTTGTCCTCTGAAAATAACATTTGATGTTTCTCTTGTTTGCGTCTGTGTTTTGTTTTTCTACTGGCTTTTAATTTTTTGCACAAAAAGAGGAAGCTGTTTGTATTTCCCAGAATTCTATCTTTTTGTACTTGTCCATTCTGGTTTTTGCGCTTTTTAAATTTGAAAAGATTTTTAAAAATTTTTGCCATATTAAAAAAAAATTCACAAAAATAACAATTTGGAAATCCATCCTTATACGGTAGTATGTATCAGGGGGTTTTAACTCACAACCTAAAGTTCATTTTAAAGCAGGTTTTTCTCAGCCCTTTCTGCACCATGAAAGAGTGAAAACAGATTTGGTTGCCTTATTCCTAGTGCTGCCATCAACAGCAAAGCTTACTTCAGACCAGCGTTACCAACAGAACTAGGACTCCCTCAGTTAAGTGGTCTGTCTTCAAAAACCCAAACAAGTGGAAAGCTTCGGTGCACGGTGGTATGTTAGTTGCTTTGTGGATCCTATTGTGGATCAGCTACTGGTTTGCACTGTGCTGTTGGGTTGTGGGGAGTGGGTTTCCTTGCTGGTTCTTTCCAAGGCACTGCGTGGGTGCAGAGGACTCTACGGTAGATATTCTTACATGGAAATGTGTCAGCGACATGGAATGCATGGTTTTCTGTTGCTGAACTTGGTTTTGCAGAAGCTTAGCACTGATGGGAAGTCATTTAGCAAGTACTGGAGAATTCTAGTTGGATATGCAACGTAATGTTAGTTGTGGAAGGGCTAAACTTTCAGCTGGCAGCTCTGGAGGTGTTGGTCTGTTGCTTCCTCTCATCAGCCTGTTTGCATGTCTGTGGTAACAGGAGAGTAAGTTGTAAAAGCTGATGGGAATCAGAGCTGTAGTGCAATCCTTTTACCAATTCATGACCACATTTGCTTTGATTATGCCTTGGAGCACCCTGAGGACCCCTCAGGCAAGAGAAGCTGCACTTCTCATTTCTGTAGTAAGATGTTGAATACCTCTATAATCTGACCTTAGTTTTTCCTCAGTCTCTTTTTTTTTTCCCTTTAGTAGATACTGTTTTAAATTCTCTATTTTTAGTCTCAACAGAGAAGTTGACCTCTTTTTGATTTCCTCATACTTTGTTTCTGTTCTTGTAAGTTGTTCTGGTAGACACTTCTGGGATGATTTCATAAAGGCTGTGGGGGAGCTTCACCTAGGAGAGAGTTAGGAACAGAGCTTTTTTTTTCTGGTTTTTGTTTTTTTTTTTGGCTGGAGGAGACACAGGAAGATTAGCCTCTCAAGCCCTAACGCTAACCTTTGGGACTTGCCACCCACCTCTGTCTCATACTTTTTTTTTTTTTAATTTATTTTTTCCACCTTCCATTTTGCTTTGTCACTTTTTACTACAAACCATTTGCTTCCTGAAAACTGATAATGTGAGTGAAGAAATCGATATTTCTCTTCTTTCTAGATGCTGTCACTGTTGTTGCTCTTGGAGGGCCTTCTTGCTGACCTCTTGGCTAATTATCTGGTTGTATGATAGTGCTGCTTAATTGTACTAGAGGTTGTTTGAAAACCATGCAACTCAGTAGGCAATAGACTAACTGGGTTTTATTTTTAGATAAATGGACTAAGGACATAAATGCCCAGACTTAGCAATGAGCTTGTGCAAAATAGGAAAACTGTGCAGTTCCCAAAACCTAAGAGCATTAATTAACTGCCACATACCTGATTTGTCTGTCCTTCCACTTGTAAATTATTTTAAATTACTCTCATACTGTATGACCAAAAAAAAACCCCTAGCAGAGTATTGGCTGATGTCTCTCTGTTGGTGCATCTTAAGTAAATTGCAGATGATCCTGTAATGCATTTATTGAGTCATATACTTAAAAAAAAATGCTTAGTGCTCTGAACAGGTTTTTCTTCCAGGTGTTCAAGCAATTAAATGAGTCTTCTAGAAAAAGTTCCTAATACACCCAAGAAATACGGAAAGATTGAGCAAAAATAAACATTTTCAGTTTGACCTTGTATGTGGATCTTAGTCTTTCAGAAGTTATTGCCAGGGGGAGGGAGTCAAGGCTTTTTCCAAAGCACATATTCTTTCTGTTGATTTTATTATTATTATTATTATTAATAATAATTATTA